AAAAAAAAAAAAAAAATATTTGTTTTATAAATTTTAACATAGCTAGCAAAGACTATCATATTTATTTACATATAAATTTATTTACATATATATATATATATATATATATATATATATATATATATATATATATATATATATATATATATATATATATATATATATATATATATATATATATATATATATCTAAATAAATATATATGTAAATAAATATGATAGTCTTTGCTAGCTATGTTAAAATTTAAAAAAACAAAAATTTTTTTTTTTTTATTTAAGTTTAATCAACTTAAATAAAAAAAAAAAAAAAAATTTTTGTTTTATAAATTTTAACATAGCTAGCAAAGACTATCATATTTATTTACATATATATTTATTTACACATATATATATATATATATATATATATATATATATATATATATATATATATATATATATATATATATATATATATATATATATATATATATATATATATATATATATATATAGATACATATATATATATATATATATATATATATATATATATATATATATATATATATATATATATATATATATATATATATGTATATATATATATATATATATATTTATATATATATATATATATATATATATACATAAACATATATATATATATATATATATATATATATATATATATATATATATATATATATATATATATATATATATATATATATATATATATATATATATATATGTATATATATATATATATATATATATATATATATATATATATATATATATATATATATATTTATATATATATATATATATATATATATATATATACATAAATATATATATATATATATATATATATATATATATATATATATATATATATATATATATATATATATATATATATATATATATATATATATATATATATATATATCTACTATACCGCACTTATATATGCATACCAAACCATCAGTCAATGTAGCAGCGCTCCGCTGCAAGCCAGGCTATTTGTCAGTTGATGTATGTACTGAAGCCCTCGGCAGCAGGCTATTTTAGTATGACGTCAAACTGCTCACCTAAATCAGCAGCATAAGATATTAACTAATTTAACAGCGCTCGTCTTAATGCATAAGTGTGAGAAATTAGCATATTTAACCTTTCCACGGAAAAACACTTTTTTTGGTTTTTTGCTTATAACTTTTTCCTGAAAATTTTTTTTTTTTTTTTTTCACTTGTTTATTTAGCCGTACAAATATTTAAAAGTTCCGTGTTTTATAATATATATATATATATATATATATATATATATATATATATATATATATATATATATATATATATATATATATATATATATACCCAGCCGGCACAATGACGTTGAAATAACGTTGAAACAACGTCGCAAACCGACCATATGCCACGTTGAAACAACGTTGAAATTTGGTTGAATTGGAAATAAAATCCGACGTTGAAAACTACGACGTTGAAACAACGTCGATGATAACGTCGTTTCAACGTTGATCTAACGTCTTATCGACTACATATCAACCATATTTCAACTTTGAATAGGTGATATATTTGATTGATACGTAGTTGATAAGACGTTAAAACAACGTTGAAACAACGTAAATTCAACGTTGATTTTTGTTTTTTATTTTGGTTGAACCCAATTAACTAAAAAATTTTCTCAACTTTAATTGCAATAAAATAACACAATAAAAAAGCAATAATTTGCGCAGAGGATATTATATTTCACGTAAATTAATCAGATACAACTAAATTGCTTCAACGGACTTTATATACAATGCAAATAAAATAAAATGTTTGAAAAAAAAAAGTTTTATTTATCAGTAATATATTTATCAATTTATCAATAATAACTATTATTAATAGTTCCAGAACAACTAGGAAAAAGTATGAATGTTATACATCGGGTTTATCGCCTTTTACGCGCCGACCACCACCATTTGATCTGTCGAGTGCGTATTTTAATAAAGTCATTATTCCTTTTCTTAATTCGGCAACTGTAGCAGTCACTTTAATTGACAAAACTCTCTCTATAAAAAAGGTATTGCCTGAGTAACTTTCATCAAATACATCAAAAAGTTAAAAATAAAATAGCATTAAAAAAACGAACTGTGATTTTTAAAAAATATATAATTTTACACTTAACTTACAAGTAAATACCTAACGTTTGTTCCTTTAAACTTCTCTTTACCTTTACCGCCAGCCATATTAAATTTTGATTATAAACAATTGGTCAACAACCTGCATTATACATTGTTATTATTATTATAGTTACATCAAAAATTGATAAACATGTCTTAGACAAAATACAAATTATTCTCAATGAAAAATTGCACAAACCGCAAAGGTTTCTTACCAAACCGTAATGCAAGTAAGAAAAAGAATTGATACAGGGGAAGAGTTGTGTCCATGGAGACCACCTTCTAAACACAAGAAAACACCAAGAGCGGACAGTATAATCAGAAATATCTGCCTGGAAAACAGAAAAAAAACCACTAAGCTTATCCATGAAGCTGTAATTGTTGTGTCAGACCGGACCATTTGTAGAAGGCTAAAAGAAGAAGGATTGGTGTCCAGCCAAAAAAGTCAAAAATTGACAAAAAAAATTAAAAATATTAAAAATAATGTCAAAAATCTTATATTTATGCAAGATGGTTCAACTTGCCAAACAATAAAAACTTTTATGGCTTAGTTGATGTATTGCTATAGCCAGACAAACCGCATGATCTTAAACCCATAGAAAACATTTAGGAAATAGTAAAGCAAGAGATTGGAAAAAAAAATCTTACTAATAAGCAAAATCTTATGGAAGAGATTATCAAGATCTGGCATAATAATCCAATGTTGACAGAAACTATAAAAAATAAATTGCAAGCATGCCACAATGCAATGAAGTAGTTATTGCAAATAAAAGTGTTTTTGCAAAATATTTATACTTTATATATATTTTATATAATTTATCATAATAACCAATGAATATTCAAAATGCTCAACTTTATTTATTTATTTTTATCAAGTACAACTTTATAAATAAAAGAAAAAACTTTAAATTGAACCATTATTGTAGATATATATATATATATATATATATATATATATATATATATATATATATATATATATATATATATATATATATATATATATATATATATATATATATATATATATATATATACAATAATGACCAGAAAAAGTTTACAAGAAAAACCAGACCAGAAAAAGTTTACAAACTTAAATTTTTTTTTTTTTTAAATGATAGACTGCCTGCCCAAACCAAACCCTCAGTCGATGTAGCAGCACTCCCTTGCGAGTCAGGCTATTTGTCAGTTGTTGTAGCAGCACTCCGTTGCGAGTCAGGCTAATTGTCAGTCCATTTAGCAGCACTCCCTTGCAAGTCAGGCTATTTGTCAGTCGATGTAGCAGCACTCCGTTGCAAGTCAGGCTATTTGTCAGTCAATGCAGCAGCACTCCCTTGCGAGTAAGGCTATTTGTCAGTCGATGTAGCAGCACTCTGTTGCCAGTCAGGCTATAAGATAGTCGATGTAGAAATACTCCCTTGTAGCAGCAGGCTATAAGATAGTTGATGTAGCAACATTTACGCATGTTTTAAAAATGTTTTTTAATATAACAAAAACAAAAACACCACTAATTAAAAAAACTTTCTAGTCGTTATTATTGCTGTTTTTTAAAATTTTTTTAAAAAACAATAAAATTTAATGTACTTCCCCACTAATTTAATTGCTTTGACATTTCGACGACAATCAAATACAGCTTGAGACAAGGAAATTAAAATTGTAGTCGAAAGTGACTTTTTTTACATTAAAAGACTCTTTCAACTACACTATAAGGATTTATATATATATATATATATATATATATATATATATAAATATATATATATATATATATATATATATATATATATATATATATATAAATATATATATATATATATATATATATATATATATATATATATATATATATATATATATAATATATTCATAAAAGCATATGTATGTATATATAAATACATATATATGTATGTTTATTTATATACATATATATGTATGTATATATAGAGTAAAAAAAAAGGTTAAGTATGCGTTACAAATCAACCTTTGTACTTTAAGGTTGTTCCTTAGCTCAAGGAAATACAAAAGTAAGAGAAAACAGTTACAAAAAAAATTATAATCAGACATAAAAAAAAAGATTTATATTATGTCTGATTAGAATTCGTCAAACTTTTAAAAATATATGCTTCACATATTTTTAACACAAGTTTAAAACAAACTATAATAAAAAGATTCAAAAGATTTATTATATAAAACTACTTTTAACAAACCTTTGCATCACATTTTTTTGTATTTGTCTTAATGGTTTTACCTCCAATTTTAGAAAGTTTGTTAACCTAAAGGTTTAAGAATATAATTACACCACATTATTTTTATAGTACATTTATAAAAAGTAGATTAACTTAGGCTAAGTTATTAATAAATACTTTTTTAAAAAACAATTAAAAAAACTGCAAAAAGTCATAGTTTGAAACAACCCATCACTTCTGACCTGACCCAAGAATCATTTAAACTGTTATCATAATCATTAAATTACTGCTGCAAGTTCATCCATAGAATTTTCAGAACTATTTGTCATGATATTACTTTAATTACTAGAAAGAGTTTTTACTAACATCTCTTTCTAACAATAAAGATATATCAGAAAGACAAAAGAACCAAACATTAATTAATTTCTAAAAGGGTTGAAACACAAGAACAAAACATTTATAAAATAAAACATTGTTCATAAACTAAATAAAATGTATTAATTTAGCAACCAATAAAATGTGTAAATCACTGAAGCATAGAAAAAAATGTTCATAATCTTTTCTTCCTAAATCAACTTACAGACAGACAATTAATACCTTGAGCTACAGTATGTGGAGTATGCATAAAAATTGTTTTCTGTTTCTTTTTTTGTGTTACAGGAGTAGGTACTTGCTTACTATTCTGTTGGTTATTATGTTTTCTCTTGCATAAGCATGGTAGTGGCTCCTATAAAAATTATTATCAGAATAAAACTAATAATACTTGAATTAAGTATCTTTTAAAATAGTTACCGTTTTCTGAATCTGATTCTATCTGAGTATCACTAGTAGTAGCAAATTTAAATTTATCACAAAACTCATGATTTTAAATACATTATATAATAAAGAATATATAATAAAGAATATATCTAAACACTGAAAACAACATAAACAGAATGAAACCATGTCAAAAAAACAAGGAAAAAAAGGAATGACTTAATGTTTATATTTAAAAAAATTACATTATCTCCATGACATTTAATTTTGAGCAGCGTAAATCTGTATTAGTTAGATGCGGTTTATGCATTTCATTGAAACAATTTATTACATTTAATGATGATAGCCAGCACATAAAAATTATCGATCGATTTTTCTCACTTTATTTCTCTGTATTTTCTATCCAAACAGCTCGAATGAACATTTTGCTTGCCCAACTATACTTTTTCAACTGGAAAAGAATAGTAGAAAATATAATAGAAAAAATACTCATATATTAAAAATTTGTTCATGTAAAATAGCTAACAGAAAAATACAACTTTAAACTGTACGTTATGATACATTATACAATTGTTAAAAATTGCTAAATTTTTATGTTGATCCTTCTACCAACCTACTTAAGGAGCAAGCACAAATTCTTTTTTATACAACTTTACAAGAAAAATCTTTAAAAATTTAATAAAATTTTTTTAATATAAAAAATATTTAAACTCTTTAAATCACATGGATTGGTAAAAAAGCTTGATAAATCATTATTTTGTAAAACATCATCCATTTTCATACACAAATTCAACACAATAAAACTTTCCATTAGTTAGTAAAAAGCCATCTTAGGTTAATAAATAACTATTCCTTAACTGTTCCAATTAAGGTAACTCTTCCCTATTTATATATATATATATATATATATATATATATATACATACATATATATATATATATATATATATATATATATATATATATATATATACATATATATATATATATATATATATACATACTATATATATATATATATATATATATATATATATATATATATATATATATATATATACATACATATATGTATATATATATATATATATATATATATATATATATATATATATATATATATATATATATATATATGTATATATATATATATATATATATATATATATATATATATATTACATATATATATATACATATATATATAATATAAATATGTATATATATGTATATATATATATATATATATATATATATATATATATATATATATATATATATATATATATATATATATATATATATATATATATATATATATATATATATATATATATATATATATATATATATATATAGAAGAAAAACATATATAATATATATTTTATATTTATATAATATATCAAGTAATCTCTACTTGTAATCCACACTCATGAAATAATACGGTCATAAAGAAATATCCATTTCATATTTACCTTACTAAATGCATCACAAGTTAAGCCATGTATTATTGTTAAATTGTCAAATTCAAAACCTTATAAAAAAGCAACAGATGGCCTAATTTATTATCATGTGTGACTTTACTTGTTTTTATTGGGCTAATAAGTAACTTTTTAAGTCTTTAATTGTTATTTGTTAAGCTAATAAAAAATATTTTAAGTCACGCATGCGTGTTTTAGTTCTCATATTGCAATTACGAACGGTCGAAACTCGTAATAAAGACGTTGAAATAACGTGGAATCAACGTCGATTTTATTTGATAAATTTAAACAAATTTTTCAACGTTGATACAACGTTGATTTTTGGTTATACGACGTCGCGACTAAAAATCAACTGTAAATCAACGTCGAAATAACGTCGTGTGCCCACTGGGTATATATATATATATATATATATATATATATATATATATATATATATATATATATATATATATATATATATATATATATATATATATATATATATATATATATATATATATATATATATATATATATATATATATATATATATATATATATATATATATATATATATATATATATATATATATATATATATATATATATATATATATATATATATATATATGTATATATATATATATAAGAATGGCAAGGACGAGAAGAAGACAGGTTTGCCTATATATATATATATATATATATATATATAAATATATATATATATATATATATATATATATATATATATATATATATATATATATATATATATATATATATATATATATATATATATATATATATATATATATATATATATATATATATATATATGTATATATATATATATAAGAATGGCAAGGACGAGAAGAAGACAGGTTTGCCTTATCACCAAGTCTCTTGTTTTTTCAAGGTATTTATATAAATACGTTGTAACTAACATTAAAAATTAAAAATGAGAGAAAAAAGCAAAATGTTTTAAAGAAGTTTATATAAAATGCAAAACAGTTTAATAAAAAAAAAAATATATTATTTAATAAGAAAAACTAGAAAATTTAAATGTGAAAAGAGTTATTATCTTATTCGTAATAAAATTTTCTACAAAATAGTCTGTTTAGTTTAGAACAAAGTTGACTTTTTTGAAAAAAACGTTGTGTTTTTTATTAGGATGAAAATTTTAAAGTTTGTTATGGCAAAAATAAATTTTTTAAAACAATTTTTTGCACCTAAATACTCTACAATATGGTGCCTCCATTTTTAAAGATTTTATTTTTTAACATTCAATATCTGCAAAAGAAACAAAGTTGCTAAACCGTTAACTTTTTTTTTCTCTATTTTAACAAGTAAAAAAAAAAATGTTGCTCACGAATTATATAAAAATTAATAATTTTTATTATAAACGAATAATATAGTTAAAATCTCTATGAAATTAGGTTTCTGTGAAAAGCCAAGCGTTTTTTTTTTTTTTTTGACAACATTAGGGATTTTATCTCAAATGTTTTGAAGCCAAATATCTTTAAAACTTGATTTGATTAGAAGAAAGCTGAAAACAAATCAGCGTGCCAAATTTAGTTAAAATTTGCCAAAAACCTAGGTCAACTGAAAAAAAGTTTCAAATTGTTCCCCAGTGTTTAAATGGTTTAAACGGGAAACTAAACTAACGGGAAACTTTAAACTAACGGGAAAGTTTAAACGGAAACTAACGGGAACTGGGAACGGAACGTTCTGTTCGAAACGTTCGGAACAAACTGGGAAGGAACGGGAAACGGAAACTAACGAGAAAGTTTAAACGGGAAAAATGCATCTTCTTAATTCCTGACATATACATTTTTTTAATTTACAGTATTTGTTTCTATTTTTGTTTTTTTTTCCGTCTTCTTCTTGTTTTTCTTGTTTTTAATATTTTTTGTTTTTGAATTTGTTAAACTAAAAAAATATGAGCTTTGTTTTTATTGAATTTTTATTTTATTTTTAAAAACTAAATTGTCTTTATAATGAGTGACTATAGGGGCTCTATGAAAAAGTTGTGATGTTAAACACATCATCCTTACCTTCATTGAGTCCCTGACTAATTAGAACAGAATATACATAATATAAAATAAAAAATTATGAAAAAACGTTTTTTGTTATGTTTATCTTTACGACGTGTATTTAATGTATTTTTTACATGATTTTATGAAAATTGTTATTGTAACTGTTTAATCAGCAAAATAAAAGTATATATATAAAGTATAATACAACAGCGCAACATGTTAAGTACTAATTCTTCTTTATTTGATTTAACCTTTAAAATTTTACATTTTTATTGTTTAAGTTATGAAATAATTTTTTTTTAGACAAAATGTTGTAAAAAAGATTACTGCAACTCTGCTAGCAGTTCAACTGGAATATGCTTTTGGAAATTGTTTTTGTGTATTTTATTTTTGTTTTTTGCATCAATATTTTAAATTTTGTATTTTTTAACTTTTTATTATTTTTAAAAGATCAAATTGACTAAGCTCTATTTTTGAACTCTTTTTCTATACACTAAGAAAAACGTGTTTAATACTAAAACAAAATATTTTGGACGTAGTACTCAGCCGTTTTAACAATTAGATTAATTTATATTAATTTATAATGTGTAAAATCAATTTTGATCTAAAACATTTTTAAATAATTAGTAATAAAATGTTTTTATCTTTATTAAATAGCGTTTGTAAATATTTTTTTTTTTATCATTGTTATTGAGAAAACTTTCAAAATTTAAGTAGATAAACTTTATTTTTTTCGGCAATCCTCGCTTCTGAGATAATACACGCTCACTGAAATAATTATATTTTACTGAATGGTTAATAACTCCTGGTAAGATAAACTAGTCTTTAAAGTAACAATATAAATACTCAACAGCTTTTCCTATTAATTGGTAGAGATGGTCGGACATGGGCCACATTGTGTCCGATGTGCGACCGAGTCAAAAAAATTTTACAAGATGATTGATCGGTTTGAATTGAAAAATTTTCAACGGTGCCCGTGATCGAAATGTTCGGTTCTGATTGAAGAATGTTTTGTCCGATGTCCGCCATTGTCCGACTTTTTTATGGCCGCCATGTTCGGCGTCCGACCGGGCCGACATTTCTGGGCCAAATCGATTAAAATTAATTGACTTTTCAGAAAGTGTTCGACTGTTAGGTTGTACGACTTGTTCAGCATTATTATCTCTCTTGAATTTATTCCATTTTAATCCAAACTATTCACCACAGCTTTAAATTATTTCAAGACTTTTAAAAGTTTCATTCTCCTTGGATTACAGGATATTGGTGAATCAAAGCATTTAATTTTTTTTAACACTGATGCAGTGGTTTTCATAATTTAAAATTTAGTGTTTTGAAATCAGCGTAAAAAACTGCATCAGAAAAACTTATTTTGATTATCAAATTCGAACATGACGAAAAGCAAAGAAGATATGATAAATATCCTATTTGCTTTGGTTGTGAACAAAAAATTAATTTTTTTTTAATTTTTTAATTGAATTTTTCTTTTATAACATATTAAACATATATTACAAAAAATTTATACATTTATTGAATTTATTAAAAAACTTTGCCACCAAACCTGTCAAAAATATTGCAGTTTGTAACATTTGTAAAAAAGCTGTTCACTAAAAGCTAAGTAGCACTACTACTTTGATCAGACATTTAAAAACACCCCCAACAGCTCAAGATCCTTCACATTTTGCCAGTAATAAAAAAGGAAAATTTTCAAAACATCTGTGCAAGTTCATAAAAACCACAAGAATGCGTTGAATAGTTTTCTTGCGTTGTTTAGTACTGATCGTCGTCCATTTGTAACAATTTATGGGGAAGGATTTGAATCTGTCATAAACACTGCTATTCATCTTGGTGCTACTTATCGGGGACATATTACTGCTAAAGACATTCTTCTTTCCAAACACAAAGTTGCTGAAGCCATTAAAACTAGTGTTTTAAAGTCTAGAATCACAATCAGCCGAGAAACTAAAAAGAAGTGGTGTAGGCATAACTACTGACATTTGGACTGATGATTTTCACAGAAACTTATATCTATCAATGACGCTGCATTGGATTGAAAATGATTAAGTGCAGGAGGCGGCAATGGCTTTTTCTTTGTTACCTCCTATTTCAAAAACTGCCACTGTTGTCTCTCGATATCTCATTGACAATTTTAAAAAGGTAGATGCCTATACTGCTGGCGGACTGAGACGAATAATTTTCACAACTGATCAAGGTTCTAATATTTTGAGTGATTTCAAAGATAGTGGCTTTGTAGTAGCAATAGAAGATATAGACATTTGTCCAGAAATCTTGCAATTGACAAGAATTTCATGTAGCAGCCACATCTTGAACAATGTTTTGACAAAACTTTTTAAACCATCTGAACTGAAAATTCACTGCTTATCTTTGCATGATCTTCTTCACAATTGTTATCAAGTTGTTACATTCGTGAAGAGTGGAAATGTGAATGCAAAATTAAGTCGGACTCTGAAAAAATATGTAGCTACACGTTGGAATTCACATCTGGCACTCTTTAAAGGAGTCCTTCTAATGTATGATGAATTGTTGATTCATTTACGAGGAACTAAGAAAATGGTAGCAATTGAGGCAATCGACAAAAATCCGTTGGAGGTTTTGGTTAAACTTTTAAAAGTTTTCAAAGGTGCAAGTAATGATTTGGAAGGGTCAACCTATCCAACAATTTATATGCCAATTTTGTTAAATTTTATTATGCAAGATTACTTCAAGTCTTTCTCCTCATCTTTTGCACAGATTGCTTTGAACATTATTCCTGAATCAGACAATCCAGAGTCTCATGTAATTGATGATGATACTGACTTGGCAAACACTCTTCCAGTTGAAAACTTCTTGCGTTGGGTTAATGATACTGACTTTGAAACTCAATATGATTCTCAGGTCTTCAAACAGGACTATGAAAACCAAAGAGATATTATTACGTACTTATCAAGTTTTGCAACTGACATTTTGTCTGATAAACTCAAAATAAATCATATTTATTGCATTGGTTTGTTTCTTATTCCTTTTTGCAAGTCTTTCAAAGTCTTTGAACAAAATGCTTCTGCCAAGCTTATAGAAACAAAGGAAAACCTGCGACGTCTTATACAAAATTGTAATTTTGAAAAGACAAACTCATCACCGACCAATTCTCCACCTCAGAAACTCCTCTACCAAGCCTTTTTTCTAACCACATTTTACCTTCACTTCGTTCCTTTAATGACTCAACAGCCCCTGTTGAGAATAATGAAATTGAACAATATAGTAGAATTGAAGTTGTGGCACCAAATGTTCAAGATTTAAAAAATTTGGGGAATGAAGCACTAAAGTGGTGGGGAAAAAATAAAGAGGCATTTCCAGTATTGTACATTGTATCTAGCTTTGTTCTTGCCATTTCTGCTACCTCAGCCCCAAGTGAACGAATTAATTTTATTGCAAAGCTGATTACTAATGACAGGAGAGCCAATCTTGCACCAGAAACAATTGAAGCCTTGATGCTACTTCGAATGGACAAGGAACTGCAAAATTCCCATTTCAATACCAAGGACAAACACTAAGAAAACTTATTGAAACTTACTGAACTTTTTTTTTAAATTTACTACCTGTATTATACAGGCTGTATATACTGCACTTAAATCTGTACTAGAAATTACTACGAACCTGTAAATATGAAAAATTGTCAGGTTCTTGTGTCATTTTTTATTTTTCATTTTTTTGCATGTTCGACGTCCGACCGCGTTCGAGATTTTCAGTTCAATGACTGTTTGGTGATCAATCGGTGTTCGGTTCGACATTAGTTTTTCTGTCCGGGTGTCCGAGTTGTCCGGGTTGTTTGACAAAATTATTATTGCTCGTGTTTGACCGGTTCGGTGGTTCGGACCGTACGAACACATGGGCGAACAGAAAAACGTCAATCAGTCCGACCATCTTTATGTCTAACAGTCTAGATCCGGATAAATAATTAAACGTTTTAACATTTTGTGTTTATTTACAATTTAAGCATACAAAAACATAATAAAGTAATTTTTTTTGCTATTATATTAAGTTATTTATTCTATTATTCTCTTTAAACAATCGCCTTTCAACTTAGCGACCAAATAAATTTTGCTGTATGTGGCACTTATGCTCCTAAAAAAAATACCATAGAAATCTTTCATGCATTTCACTAGAATGTAAAAAAAATGCATCAAAATGTAAATTATTATAATAAGAAATGAGATATGGAAAATATCACACAGTATATTAAAAGACCAATATAAAGATTTAAAAAGTACCTGCAATTACTCTACTCAATAAAGTTTTTTTAAAATGATCTATTTCCATAAGTTCCAGCTTTCTTAAACAATGGTAGAACACATTTTGACATTATTTTATCCAAAACATTATTAGCAGAGCTGAAAAAGACCTTAAAAAAATCATAGAATATATTTAGTTTGATCACATTTCACACTATTTAAGAAAACCTTATACATAAATGGAAACAAAAATACAACAACAAATCAAACTTTGCTTTATTATTTAAAATTATTTCACTTTCATAAACCTTGTTATATCATTTATTTTATCATAATAAAATTATGAATCTCCAAACTCAGTCTTTTCCCCCAGGATACCCAATGCAGATAGATACTTTTTAAGACTTTAGGTATCGTAGTTCCATATATATTGCAGATTGAAAACCTATTAGAAAAAAAAAGTTCGAACTAAGTAAAATACTAATAAAAAACTAAAAATTAAATTAAATACAATAAAAATCTTTTAAAAAAGGTAAGACAACATTTAATAACATACTTGTTCAACTAATAGACTTAAAACTTGATTGCAGTTTATCATAGCTATGCATCGCTGAAATTCTTTTTTAACTTGTTGAAGAAATGTTTTATGTATTATTTATTATGTATTATTATGTATAATGTATTATTTAGCAACTTTTTAAAAATACATACACATATTTAAATATTTTGAAAAACATTTATCTGGTTTTATTAAGCATAAACTGTTGAATAAAAACAGATGAACTTACATTTGGCAAATTTTTGCACTTTAATATCAGGACTTGCTTCTCTATATGCAAACAATTGTGGTGTTTCACTTATTGTTTTAAAATTGATATTAAAAAAAATATAGAAAAATTGCATACTTTAATCTTATACATAAACTTACAGTATTTAGTATTTACAGTATTTAGAAGTATTTAGTTAAGAATATTAAATATAACACTATTTTTGAAAAACCTGGATGTATGAACTAAACTTAAAAAAAACAACCTGATTCTAGAAGTTTAGAACTTGAAGACTCTGAATCACTTTATGCATACATCTCTTTAGTTCTTTAGGCAAGATTAAGGTTTGTCAATATTTATAATTGTCTTTCTTTACAAGGTGAAAAATATATTTTTGTATATTTTTACGCATCATACAGTCGCTTTATTAATTTTTTTCTAATTGATGATTGTTACTATTAAATAAAGTCTTCCGGTTAGGCTTAAAAAAATCATGGCTTAATATTAAAAAAACAAAGTTGTTTCTACTAAAAGTTCTACTTGTATAAATAATGTAGAGCAATTGCTAACTGGAGTAGAAAATCTAGAGAGTAATAGCTTTATATGTTTATTAAAAGATTTATTTATGAAATGGTTGTAACATAAACTTACTTCGTGTTAGGTTGTGATACAAGTATAGTTACGTTTGATTGTAACTATACTTGCATCTTTGTTACTCATAATTGAGAATGGTAGTTTAAGTTTTTTCAGTATATATAAAAAATAATTTTACATACAAAAAAAAATAATTATAAACAAAAACACACACACTGTAATATATATATTACAGTGTGTGTGTGTGTGTTTTTGTTTATAATTATTTTTTTTGTATGTTATGTATGTTACACATATATATGTTAGTAGTATACTACTAACATATATATGTGTTAAGTTTTACAAAACTTGAAGCTTATAAAGTCAATAAGAATACAGTATTTTAAGTTTACAAAGAAAATACAAGATTCATACAAGACTTTTTACATGAATACTTTTTTATATTATCATTATTTGTAAAAGTCAAGTCGTAATGCTACTTTTACACTATATTGTTTTTTGTTCCTAAGCAAGTAGTTTTTAACTTCTCCCCTTTTTTTATCTTTTGCGATAAGTTTCTTTTGTTGTTTGATTTGTTTTAGGGTTTTCTTTTCTTCTAATAAACGAATTTCATTTCTGATTATAGTATCAGTCAAAATCCTTGTTTTCAATTGCCTCCTTTTAACACTTATTTTTCTAGCAGATGCTTTCGGGTAAGGTTTCAAAACTTCTTGTGAGAGTAATGAAGCAATGCTTGGTGACACTTTGTTCGAAAAACTTGTTACATGATGTAATACACACATTTCAGGCTCCATGGCATCAACATGTGTCACAGTCATTTCAGGTTCGACAAGAATTGTGTTTACTACCTTTGAAGCAGCACGATCTGTAACTGATGATTATAAATATTCATCATCTTTAAAAATTTCTGGATTAAATGACTCAATGCCCGCTACTTAAAATCCTCTTTGTATATTAGATGTTGAGAAAGCTTTTGTATATGTTCGCGAACTATTGAAACAATATCATAGATGGTCAAAGGTCTTGGATTTGTGACCATCCAGTTATCACATGCAGCAGTGTAAAACCTTTTCAATTGTCCAAAAACAGTTTTATCCAATGATTGCAATTTATCGGTACAATGGGGAGGAAAACTTAGCATTGTAATTCCATGTTGAATTGCAAGATCAAAGCTTTAACAAAAATATGACTTTTATGGCTGTCCAGAAGTAACAAAACTGGAGATTCATGAGAACAGTTTGAATACATCACAAAATGTTATATCCATTCTATAAAAATGTCTGAATTTATCCAACCAGAAGGATTTGCAAATCCCACGCATCCAGGAGGACCTTCCTTTATCATGTAATCATGAAATTTGACCCTAGGAAAAAAAATAGTGGAGGAATAAGAGTTTCCAATTGCATTTGAAGCACAACATACAGTTACTAATGTTTCTCGTTCTGCAGGTGTGATTCTTCGTACATGTTTACTTCCTTTACCTGTTAACACTTTTACTGGCTTTTGTACCGTTGTTAAACCAGTTTCATCAACATTATATATGCAATAAGGATCAAACTTATATCGATTTCTTACTGTTTTTAGATTTTGGAAAAATTTTCCTTCAGTGTGTTGGTTAAAGGCAGTTGATCGAGCAAAGCTTGTTGCTTCAGGCGTTCGTAAAGACAACTCTGGTTGTCTTTTCATAAAACCTTACAACCAATTAATCCCTGCAATTTTATTCTTGATCCACGATGAAGGGCAGATCTTATTATTTTTTACAGCAAACTCGTATGCCAATAATTGTGTTGACTTAGTTGAAAGTCCATAGTTCATTTAATAATTTTTTAAATTTTTTAAACAAAATTTAAAAAATTTATCTAAAAATTTTTTTATTCGTCATAAGTACATGTCTTTTTTTTAAATGTATAAAATTTAAACAAAAAGTAAAAGTTTTATAAAATAAGTTATATTGGGCACTTTGATCCTCCAATTAATGAGCCCCGATTAGTCAACGATCAATGTGCCCTATTAGGTTCAGTTGATATATTGATGCCAATAACTTCTATAAATACAGTAATCAACTCGAAAAAACAAATTTATTATTAACTTAACTCATATGAGTTTACAATAAATTGGTTATAAAGTCATACGGAAATCTAATTAAAGATTTATTTGAATTTGTTTACTAATTTCAAAAATCATTTTTCATGATGAAAAACTGTATTTTCAATTTTCTTAACGCTGAAGTTGATCTTATTTAAAATTATTACGTTTAAACAATGAAGGGTAGTATAATGGTTAATTAAATTGCAATTAAATCTCTGTTAAATTGAGGCACAAGTAAACAAGCAAAAGCCAAAAGATCATACTGCCCCGGCGACCTTAAGAGCGACCATAAAAGTGAGTTTCCACTCATCAGCTTTTCTACAGGAACGGGATAAGAAAGGAAAAAATAATCACGTAAGCATACGTCGTTTTATTTCGGACATATTAAAACTTATAATAAGCATGGCCACGTGATTATTTTCCCTTCCTTTTCCCGTTCCCGTGAAAAAACGGATGAGTGGAAACTCACCTTAAAACTTTTACAAAACGTTTGCAAAACGTACTTGTGCCCACTGGGAAGTTAATTTTTATCAAAAAGTAAATTACATAAGTAATTTAAAACGTTTTATGCAAATTTACATTTCCGTAGAAGTAATTAATTTTTTTGAAACGACTTTTACTTTATAATATAACCTTTTTTACTTTTAAAAGTAAATTATGTAAAAGAAGATTACATCAAAAAGTAATTTACTTTTACTTGTAGAGTTATTTACATTTACATGCAGTCACATGAAAAAGCTGTTTACTTTTACATTTAAAAGTTAAATTACTTTTGAAAGTTACATTATATCAAATAAAATATCCTTAAAATTTACATTTACCTATAAAACCGTTATTTACATTTACCTATAAATGTAACTAATTTTAAAAAAATTATATTAAAAAGTAACTTGCGTATGGAAGTAATTTACATAAAAGTAATGTGCAACCACATGTTACTTTTAAAAAAATATTTTTTAAGTAGGAATTTTTTATTTTAAATGTAATAACAAATCTTTATTAAAAATAAAATAAAATTTAAATTACATTAAATTACCTTTTATATAATTCGTACAGTGAATTAAAAGTAATTTATATAAAGTAAATTTACTTATATTTTACAACAACTTATACAAGACCTTGTACAAAAGTAATGCTAAAAAGTATCACTTTAAGTCACTAACATTTAGTTTACCGCAACATTTGATTTGCGTGGTTTTAGGTATTTCTTCTCTGTAAAGTTAAAAAAAAAAAATAATAGGTTTCTGCCCATGATTTAAACCTTTTTAAGTTTTAGCTAAAATAACCATTCTTTGCATCAAATCGTCTCAAAAATATTCTCTCTCTGGCCAACCATTCGAAAGCAGTTAGCAGAAGGTGCGTATACCCTAGGAGACTCAGAAAGGGTACTGTATTTGAAAGAAAAATAAATGGCATAATTGTTTGATCTTCTTTACAAGTTTATTGCGCAAATCTATTTATTATTTAAAAACTAAGTAGAGAAAGTTTAAACCTGTCCTGAATTATGGGGGCTATAGCACCATACCCTGAGCCCCGAACTTTTTAAGAGGACGCTTTATATTTGTGAAGATATTTTACCACTTTAATACGAAAAAAGTCCACCTGCACAAAAATTTCCTTTGACTCTAAAAGTCTTGGTTTAAACAACTACGGTACTTTTATATGGGCATAAAAGTTATTGTTCTAGATTTATTGGCACCTTATTAATTTATTGGCACCTTGGCCACGTATGCCTACTGACCAAAAATACTTTGCTACACCACGGTGTAATATACCTATAACCTGAGCTGTGCGTAAAAACGATTTATAAGTTGATTAAGAAATAAAAATTGTGACGATTGGAGTCTGGATACAAAAATATCCAAAACATTTACTCCAAATGTGAGAGCAAAAAATTAGTAATTTTTAATATTTTTGTTTTCTTACACTAAGTTTAAGTTGACAGGTTTTAAAATTCAAAATTCAAAGGTTATGATTATAAAAGTTTAAATCCAAACCGAATAAGTTGTTTGTTTCAACATTTTCTAAACATTCAAGTGTGATATAAATAAAAACATACTTAAGATTGGCACTTAAGTATGTTTTATTTACCAAAAGTATATTTTTTAACCAAAATCATTGGTTTTCATAACTATAATACAGTTATCAATATAGTCTATACTGATAAAATTA